ATCATACTTTTTGTAATAAATTGAATAAAATGCTAAACAATTTAAAATTTTAAATGTTTAAATTAATTAATAAACAATTTATAAATCTCTATTTTATTTAAATATGTAATTTTATTTAAAATCATTTTAAATATAGCCAAATTTATTTAGAAAATCATATCGGTCCAACCAGTTCGACCGATTGGTGTTGACGGGTTCAATAGCAAATATTTTATTCAAGTGAACTAGACTGATTATAAACTAGTTTTCGGTCAATTCGATCGGACTGTATCCAACAAGGTTTAATTTAAAAATGATGGGTTAATCTTGATTAGTTTATTTGTATATTTAATTTATAACACAATCGTAATTTTATTTTTCCGTGCATCGCACGGGCCACGCACTAGTTGTATTGAAAAGGTGTTATGGGATAAAACAATTAAATAAATTAATGAAATAAAATACTTGATGAAAATAGAATGCATTAATTGCCATTGACTTTTCTTACTGCTAATTCTAGTAAATAGTATGACTTTTTATATAAGTATAGATATGGCTTGAACTTTTCCATTTTTCAATTGAGAGTTTCGATTTTAAATTATTTTCAGTTAAAGAATTATTTTTATATTCTAATTCTGAATTTAAGACACCACATAATTTTATATTTTTAAATAAACATATAAACCAAAATACTATTATTTTAAAATTTATATTCTAAAATAATTATAAATATCTTAGTAAGAAAATTCAATTAAGCTAAATTTATTTTGCACAAATATAACTTATTTGAATTAAGCTTAAATGAATTAATTTTCTTACGTAACTAGTTTTACAAATATATTTAATACTTTTATTATAGGTATTAAGTTTATATATTCTTAAATTTTTCAAAATATGAATTTTATTCACAAATAATATTTAGGCTGGGAGAGGGGTGATCTCCGCGTTAGCAGGGAACACACCTCACAAGGCCATTCGCGATAAGACTTTAGGCGTCTTTGATCGTCTTCCTATTCCTTCACAACTATCTAGACCGTACTGCCAATGCTTTTTCTCAAGTTTATTTTTTTAATGTTATCACATATTTAGATTAAAATTAAGGTAAAATTTATTTTTTAACTCTTAAAATAGATTTCATTAAGCTTTTGCATTAATGTTAATTATGATTACTTTTACAAAATATATTTAATATTTTCCATTATAATTACTTAAAAAAAAAGAGTATTGTGGTTTACATAATTATGCCAAAATACAAAGTGTTTTGGAGTCTTAATTGAAAAGCAGAATACAAAAGAAGGTCTAATATTAAGGATAACTTAAAATTTAAACCCAATTGAAAAAGTAAAAAATTTAGACTCTATTATGAAAAAATACCCAAAAATAAACCCTACAATAAAATTTTCTCCAGTATGGGGATCTACCAAACAATTATGGTTTTGGGAGCCGAGTTTTTTATTTTTAATATCTTTTTGTCTAAGTACTTAAAAATATGTTAAAAATATTCTTGGCGTCCGACAATCAATTCAGTCCCTCGTATATGATGTATATAAGACAATAATCAATAAAACATAATCTTACAATAATCATAGCTCAACCTTTATATGTGAGAACGATTACCTTGTATCACAGAGAGTCCTACTGAAGGCAACAAGATGTACACATGCCTTGTTGCATTAGATTTCCACCGATATCTCTCAGATTCTCAATATCCACAAAATCATGCCTTCATGAGATGTTATATTGTATTGCTATTGCCTCTGTTAGCTCTTCAGGTCGCCCTGAAGTCATCATTTGGAGTTTGGTGCGCTATCTCACACCAGCTCGATATCTAAGGTCTCATGTCGTCTATGCCACAGGTCAATAACTTGACCCACCGCCCTCAAGAGCCTACCTCCAATAAGTCGAGCTAAGAGAGTCCCAGTTATAACTTCGTCCATATGAGCTTTAACTTGTGTGGGCATAAGTTGGTAAAATGGTCCCCGACCAGGATATATTGCATGTGTCAGAGAACGACTCAAAAATTATACTTGTCAAGTTAGCAGACAAACTCTTTGAGTACTCGTGGCTTCAAATACTGAGGTAAATAGCATCTGATGTTTATTTCAAGGTACATTCGAAGATCGTACGGTACCCAGCTAGCCGACCTTTGAGCTGGGATCTCTTATGAAGTCTGTTGTGTACAAATTGTTATTTTTACCGAGTACCGAATCAAAAGATTCTTTCCCCGGGTCGATCTCACGAGGAAGGTTGTTCGGAATTCAGCTTTGGTATCGATCACACATAAAAAGAAAATAAAACCTAAACACTCTAATCAAATAGGGGGGAAAAATTACCAACTATGAAATAATATAAAAACAAATAATCTACCTAAAATATAAATGAAACAAAGATGGAAAAACTAGGGAATCGGGGATAATTAATAGAAGTTCTAGCAAAGTCGGGCTATCAATTGTTCTATTCTAGATTGACACTCTCGCTTAAACATCTAGAGGTTCGCTCCCAATAACTCTTCGTAACAAGGGATTGAACATAGACGAGCAAGCTCGAGCATACAATACATGTCAATTATCCCAATCCTAATAACTTTTCGTAACAAGGGACGGGTCATCAACAAGCACGTATTTCAATCCAAAACCTATAGACTATTCATTTATGAAATCATCTACCTCATGTGAGCCTAGGTCTACGACTTATCCCCTTTCGGTTCTAACAGTCGCTAATTCAATTAGAAGGTGTTTAATCAACTAATCATTTAGAATCATCAAGCCCTGACTCGACAAATTAACATTCAATTGTCACCAATTACAAGATCGAAGTGTCACTCTTCGATTATATCAATCAATCGAACAAGAATTCAACAATTCTGAATTAAATCAACTCACACAAGAATGAACAAATCAAGCCCGACAAATACACGTTAAACAAGAACAATCATCCCATATCCCTAGCAATAGAATTTAGCTACGCTTAATGAATTCAACACAAAGCACCATATCAACATATACCATCAATCACATAGATTAAACGACAATTAATGCTTACGATAATATAGAAGCCAAGGTCAAATCCAAAGCACAACAAACCCAAAAACAAGAAACAAACCTTGGAGTGTCACTCTCCAAGA